GAACTATTCGAAAACCTGTAGGGAGTACTGGACAGCCAGCTGTAGCGTCTGCCTAGTTTGGGACTCTTGAGCAGTACACATCCACCGCCAGGTTTCAAACCCAGGAGCTTCTGGTTACAAGGCGAGCTCGTAGATGATTAAGCCATTTGAATATCATCTTGGGACAGTTTGAGCAATTAGTAAGATATACACTTCCACCAGTTAGTAGGAGGGTAATACACTGAATTGGGGGAAAGGGTTTTTGTACAATCGAGAAATACATAAAGAAAACTGTAAAATATGAAATAACAACAACGGCACCAAAACACTGAATTTTAAAGAAACAAAACATTTCAAAGCATAAGACAGGTAACCGACAAACCAACACAATAAATAAATTGGGTAAAAAAAATTGTAGTAAATGCATCTTACTTGGCCATATATTCATTTACATTTAGTATTTGACTAAATTGTGAATAACATGAATCTTAATGATGATTAATGCGTGAATACAACAAGAAAAGTGTTATGCAAAACTAGAATACATTAATAATCGAGATACAATGGAAAAATGGACATGAAACACGCAACAAGAAACAAATGAGGCGGATTAATTTCTAGATAACACAACAACATATTAGGATTACACAAAATGTGCAGAGAAAATTCTTTTTTTTATTGATATGCAAATATTTTCATGATTAAATAACACAATATGAATATTTTATTACAGCCCTGTATACCTTCTCGTACACTTACAAGATTGAGTCGCCGAAAAACAACAACACATTTATTAGCAATGCGTGGGGGGATGAGGGAGGGAGGGGGTCAGAAATAATTATGGAGCGCAGGTCAGGTCAACAAAATAAAAAAACCGCAGAGTTTCAAACACACAAGTATAAGTCACAAAAATGAGAATAAAACAATAAGCGTATATGCTAATCAGATTAGCAATAACTATGTATGAGTGTAGTTGTACCACAGAAAATGATTCTCATTGTAGACACTTAAGCGTTCTAGTTTTTCCTACACACCCAATTAGAGTGCGTGCATTCTGCTAAACGAATCATCGGATCGATAGTTACTGCGTAGAAAAATCTACAACTTGAAAACCATAATTCCTTTCAACCTAAGACCGATTAACTAGCTTCAACATAGAACTTTGCACAAATGTGCAGTTCAAGTTCCCACACTTCCTTGATGTAGCACACGAAGCAACAGGAGACAGCAAAGGCCGATTCAAAAGAGAAATAATAAACAGAGATATGAAGCAAAAAGAATAGTAATATACAAAAGAACAATAGAATTTTATTGGACATGACAAATTACAAAGAGTGAATACATCTGTACCAGCCATTGAGAACAATTTTGAGTCATATCACCGATTATCTCCAGCCGCCATTGGGTTTTTATTATCTTGAGGACCCCAAACAGCCTACAAGTCTACACCTCCCTAGGTGGCTGGCTGGCTGACTGACTTAAACTAACTATTGTGTATTGCATTGACTGATATCACCACATTTTGGTTTGACCACCACTAGCTAACTCTTTTCCAACCTGATCCATCCTATGTCAGCAAACATTGCCAATCGAGGAAGGCATAACACATGGCCTCACCATCTCAATCGGTCTAACTTCACAACCTTGTCGACTGATTTCTCCTCCCTACCTAGCACTCGACACCTAACCTCAATATTACTCACCCCATTATATCACTTAACATGGGAGACACGACGCAGGAACCTATGATCAAAGACAGCTAACCTTTTCACGTCTTCCACTTTCAATGGCCATGTCTAACAGCGAAGATTTCTCATTAGTTTGCGTTTGAGCAGCTTTCACTCCTCATGATATTCAGAGCTCGCCAGAATCAGTCTTCTTGTGTTGATCAGTTCCGATGAGTTAGTAGAAATCCACTTGCTTTTAATAGCTTTTGGTTTTAAGTATATTAACGGCCTTTACAGCTGTGTCTACAGCTAACTGTATGTTGAGCCAGGTTTCCTCAGTAAGAGCCTTACTGTCAATCTCAGATACACTTTAGCCATTTCTTCCTTAAATAGGAAATCAGAGGCCTGACCAAGTTATGGAGATAACTGCTTCGTTGCCAACTGTTTTTATATCCATTTAATCGTGCGTGAACCAGACCGTGATCGAAGTCTACGCACATGTTCAAGAAGGTGCGTCAGTCTTCTACTTCGACGTATATATATATATATATATATATATATATATATATATATATATATGTTTGCTCTGCACAAACGGCAGAACGACTAAAGGATCATAGTGTTGACAAATAAGTTACGACCGTTCTGCTCTTTCTACATCATCAACTGAAATATGACTAAGTTTTATACTACTCACTTGAAGCCAACTAAGTCAGACTAACTGACTTCCTTTTGAAGTACAAGTTAACACAACGATGATGGAACCTCTGAAGGTAACCAATCCCATCAAAAGTCATCACGAAGGACAGTTATAACATTATAGTAGAATTCAAAACAAAAGCTGACTTCATAATGAAGTGAACGCTGATAATATTGTCTGGATGGATAGTGAAACCTCCTCTTCAACTAAATCGATCACCTCAGATAGATAACAGCACAACTATATTAATAACATTCTTCTTCTCTCTATTCTACTGCAATAAAGTTGTGCTACTTTAAAAATGTTTATACAAGAGTAATAAATTTGATGTATTTAATGTCGTTGATGAGTCATACCGCCTTGTTTATTTGCTTTTTAATCTACTATGCAATAAATACTTGTGATAATGAAATGTATCATCCTAATTCTATTGCTTAGTCTTATATTTGTGTGACAATGTCTAATTCTAATCTTTAAACAAAACTGTCTGTATTTACTTAGCAAACGTTTAACCTAATGATAGTGATTCTTCATCCTGCCTGTCTGACTGAATATGTATCTCGATTATTGCGACAATCTAAAATTACTACTAATTGCTACTGCTAATATACTTTTTATCCCTGAGCGATTTTGGTCTACAAGTTCTAGCTGGTACACAAAGTGTGGAAATTCCTTCGGCCAAGTTAAACTTTAAGCACCACTAACTACTACCAATGGAGTGAGCGACTGCACCAATGACCTTGAAACGCTCACTAAGCTAGTCATTAAAACCTGGCAAATAATGTTGTTATTATCAATAAAATATGCTCATCGAAGTGTTATTAAGCGTTATTAAATGGGATATCTCGCAAGTTTCAGCTTAGGTTTGTGAAAGATTAAGTTACGGTTTAAGCCAAGGATAGGCTAGGGTTACACGTTAATCTAATAAAGGCGACATTAGGGCTGGTTCGAGTTAGATTACAGTTAGTCTAGAGAGATTTTTTCACGTTAGGGTTAGCTTCAGGAAAGATTCGGGTTATTGTTAGCGTTAGAAGACCCATGTAATTACACGCATAGAATGTGATTACATTACTCAGTTGATATAAGAATAGAACTTGTGTACTGTGGTAGAGTATAATTCTATTGTGGGTAAAATTTATTTTGATAAAGTCTCACGGTGGTGTTGTACAGTAATATTTACTGATGACCAAGTTTCGAGTACAATTTATTGCTCAGCAAATATTACTGTATAACACTATGAAACTTTATCAAAATAAAATTTACCCGCAATGGAATTTATGCTCTGTTGATATTCCAACCTAAAACTGAGAGCTATTTTTATTACACATGAGGGGAAGCATTGTTTCAACTACAGGTAGTCGGAACGGACGAGGATGTCAAATCGAGAATTGGGAAGGCGAGAAACACACATTCATCAACCTGAAATCAATATGGAAATCTTCGTCACTCAGCATCAACAACAAAATTCGGTCGGATTTTCAATACAAACGTCAAGTCAGTCAGTTCTTCTGTACGGATCAGAAACTTGGCGGCCGGGTCACAAAGGATATTTCCAACAGCCTGTTGCAGACGTTACCTTTATCAACAACTGTCTTCGCTGGCACTATAGAGAAGATCAGATGGCCGGGCTGGAAAGAATCACCAACAAGAAACTATGGGAACAAGAACCAATCGCCAACCAAAAAATATGCAGGAGAAAGTGGAGATGGATTAGACACTCGCTGAGGAGGCCGCCGCTGGGTGACATCGCGTGCGCGTCAGGCCATTGCTCGAGTGGAACCAGACCGAAAGGGAAGCGGCGAGTGAGACGTCCAAGGGTGACAAGGAAGAGATCGTGTGAAGAGGAGGTGAAATAGTATGGACTAACGTGGATGCAGGTGAAAAGTACAGCAGAAGACAGAAGCAAGTGGGGACGTGCAGTTGAAGCCCTATGTTCCACTAGGAACTCAAGGGAACGATAATAAATAATAATAATAATGACAGGAAGATATCCTCTGTAACACTTTTCTACAGTTTGTATGCATCTTTTTCATACATATGCATGTATTCAATAAACAAAAGTGCCTCTTTCACGTGATTGGTAAACAAGAGATTATTCGCTGAGAATAGCAGTTAGTGGTGCTTAAAGTTTAACTTCACCATTACTTCTTAATTCAACTGCAAAACAATATTATATTATCAATCACTCAGATGTACAACTATTGTCGTAGATAACTGAATAATTAAAGGTTTGAAGTTATAGCAGAGTAATTATGAAGTGAGTTTTACACTAAATGAGTTACAAGTATATGTGTAAGTTATTCACCGCATTCTTAACTAAGCACAAAGTAAGAGTGTGTGTATTTTAGAAAACAAAACTATGAAATCAATAGAAGTGTTACATTGTGTAATCACTGAGAGACAACTCAAAATGAGTATATACACGACTCATGTATATAAACGAAACAAAAAAATTGTGTGAGTACCTTGATATGATTATGAGTGGTAATAAACTGTGCTTGAAACACGTTGTCATCAGTAAATATTATTGTGCGACTTCATCAAAATAAATCTTTATCCATAATGGAATTATACTCTTTACCAGAGTTGACCAAGTTTTATCCTTATATCAGTAAATCAAATCAAATCTTTAATTTTTTTTAAAAAATGCTTACTTTCGACTTTTCACCACATCCACACCAGTCACCACTTCATCGTTTGCATTCAATAAGGTCATACGTTTGCCACTGTCATCACGAACTTGACCAGTACCATTTCCGAGTAATCGAGATAATTGACTAGGCATGCACCGACCGAGCACTTTAATGAGGAAAAACAGACGTGAACAATTATGAGGACACCTGTAGGAACAACACTTGGTCATACTGACTTATGCTACTTCATCGGGAGTCTGTTTTGCAAAAATTTTCTTGAACAACAGCAAAAAACAAAATAAATGAGCAAAGAATATCCTTTACGATAATTCCCTCTTTTGGCTCTATAATTGTGTATATGTTTATATACATAGAATACTCTAGACAAAACATCGATGCTAGCATTCCTATATCTTTTATAAAAGAGCTTCTCTTGAAATGCACAATGAATGTCCACATTTTATTTAATGAGGAACTAAACAGACAAATCGATGGTGTGGCGATGGGGTCACCACTAGGACCCATTCTAGCCGACACTTTCCTTACGAAACTAGAAAATAGGCCTTTGAAAGATGTTACTGATGAACTAGAATTCTGCTATGGGTACATGGATGATACATTTTTGATTATAAAAAATGAGAATGAAGCAAAGAACATACTGGATAAATTTAACGAGATTCATACTGCAACAAATTTTACTATTGAGAAAGAAAAAGACTCTAGTATTTCATTACTAGATGTCTTTATAACCAGAAAAGAGGATGTCACAATAAGAAGAGGTGTATGTAGAAAACCTAGATCAACTGGTCACTATAGTCATTTTTTAGCTTCGTGACTTTGAAATACAAACGCAACCTGATAAAGTGCTTGGTTCACAAAGCAAGAGCAATTTGCTCGGACGAATGTCTTAATGAGGACCTTAATAATAGTAAACGGTTACTGAATGAAAACGGTTATGCAGAATATGAATCTAAAATCAAAGCAGTCCAAGGTACCAACAGTTCCTAAAAAGGCCTTATTCCTACAAATTCAGTTCCTCGGGGACAACATCAGCGAGATACTAACACAACACCTTAGGAATGCGGTAAAAAGAGCATTCCCTGCTGCTGACTTACTCTGTGTCTTGAAACCACTCCTCTTTTGCTTTCGGGAGCAAAAGAGAAACTGCTTAATTTCGCCTCTTATGTGTGTATCTACACCAATTTGACTGCTCCTGTGGAGTCGGTTACATAGGCCGTAACATTAAGGTGCGTTTCTAGTCGGATTGCCGAACACCACCCTGGATGATTTTTAACTAAAGGACAAACAAAATCTATTCGTAGCGCTATTCTATCTAATCTTGTGGATACAGAACACAAGACTGATGTTAACTAGGCCTTCAGAGTCATTTACCGCATACCAACAAATCTCAATTTCGCGTTAAAATTTCGACTACTAAATATTGCTGAGGCTGTTGGCATCCAGATTAAGAAGACTAATTTGTGCGTCCAAAAGAAGCTAGTTCAGACATTGTCCTTACCTTGGTCATCCAGGTTTGAATGGTCCTGAATTTTCGTGGAATTTTCATAATTTTAGTTGATATTCTATTTGCTACCATATCTTTATTATTATTATCATCATTTAACCATCTTCAATGAACCCTAATTCCATTGTGGTCTTGCTTAACAAATCGACATTATTCAAAAAAACACTAATATTATTATTGACTACTATTCTAGAATATTCTATGTATATAAACATATATATAATTGTAGAGCCAGAAGAGGAAATTAACGAAAAGGATATTCTTTCCTCAATGATTATGTTTTTTTATAGATGTCGGAATGAATATTTTCGCTATATAACAACAGTAAGTTGATTGGCTGAAAACAGTGCAATTTTATCACTTATGTACAACAACAACGCTGGTGACCTGACAATTCCAGTCACAACAATCATATGACGACTTAAAACATTCACCGAATATCATATAAAGGCAAACTAGTCCATCGGGGCCAATCAAGTTTCTAAGACATAGGTGTTTAGTTGAATCTAGAAGGATAGATCGAGATTAGTAATCTACAAAAAAATCTGGGCGACCTCAATACATGTGCTGTATTGTAACAGCAAAACACGGTCTTATTTGGCAGCGGGATCGTTTATGAACGGATACAGCAAAATACAGAAACCTTAATGCTGAAATCTCCATCTGCACATGTTCTCCGTATTTAGTTTTACTTTGTCTTTATTTTCAAATTCTCCTGTTTGCTATTCAATCCGTCGCTGCGCTATTCAATATTCATGCAAAGGATACCCCACATAATAAACTACTTACAAAATATGATCAGTAGTACACATCACACTTGTATACAATCATACAAAGTTGGGTTTCTAGAAGACAATTAAATCAGGAGGAGACAGATAAGCTTATTCCCGAATTTTTATTTATCAAATTAAGTCCAATAAGTGAACTTCCTATGAATAAATAAATGTAAAAATGTTCAGCTTCTTAAAGATGATTGCTTATTGATTTGCCTTCTGGTCATCTATGAGCTGGATGGTTTATTCGCGAAGCTTTCATTCCCCGTACTGGGCAATATTTTCAGTACATACTTTAATTTTAAGTAAGCTTTCAGGTTTCTCCATGAGTTTATAAATCATATCTCGTGGAGAAATCTAAAGGCTTACTTCAAATTAAAGTATGCGCTGAAGATATTGCCTAAGTAGGGCAGTGAATACCTCTCAAGCAAATAAACCATCCAACTCAGAGAAAACAACTACATCGAAATCATACACCTGAGTATTTCATTATCACCTTATGATATATTCAAAACATTTTCATTTATTGAGCAGTTAAAAACAACAGTCAAAATGTTGTACATAAAAACAAAAGGCAAAATGTGAGAACTAACCTGGTTTCGAATGGAATACATATGGGGCACACTTTCGATCGTGTACCAGTTGATCGATACTCTGGAAAAAAAGAAAATTTTCCTTATATATATATATATATATATATATATATATATGAACTGGCCTAGTTAAATAACTTGCGAATATTCTAGCCTGTCCCAAGCCCGGGTAAAGAAGGAGGCTTGGACATGGAGCTAGAGACCCTACACTCCAGAAAATCAATCAAACTGCTACTATCCGAGGCTGGGAAGGCTGCGCGGGTAGCTACAGAAATAAGAAGATATGGCATAGAAGCGCTCGGAATGTACGAGGGCAGATGGGATGTATGTGGACTGCCGAAATTGTTAGGTGGAGAGTCAGTAATCTACTTCGGTCACCTATACGACAACAGCGAGTCCACTGAGGCAGTGAGTGGCTATCCTCATTTCACCAGTGGCAGCCGAAGCGCTAATGCAGTGAGAACCAGTTTCATCCCTTAGGATCATGACAGCAAGATTCAACTCAAAAAGAAGTCTGTGAGGTTACAATTATCCAATGCTACAAACAACGTGGAAGAAGAGAAGAAGGAAGATTTTTACAGACAACCACCAACAGTAACGGATAACATCCCAAATGATGACATCAAAATGCTCACGAGCGATATGAACGCTTAACTGGGACCTCATAATACAGGAAGAGAACTCATTATGGGTCGAGAGGCTGGCGCTCAGAAAATGAATAAGAACAGAGAATTATTCGCAGACTTCCACGCTTTCAATGATTTGGTGGTCGAAGGTAGAGTGTACAAGTATAAGGATATACACAAAGCGACATGGATTTCGCCTGACAGACACACCATAAAGCAGAAAGATTTCATCACAAAGCTGATTAAGAAAGTCTAGACGCAGCCAGTTTGCTAACACAAACTCGAGAAGGGGACCAGACTATCATCTAGTCCAAGGAACCTTCAAGGTGAAGCTAAAATCCCTGAAAACAACAGGAGAGAGGCCACAATTCAAGTTCAACATTCATAAACTGAAGGACAAAACTGCAAGGGATACCTTCACTACAGATCAAAGCAAAGTTGGAGACACTACGTGGCATAACTGAGGTAACTTGTGTGGAAGAACATTGTAACTAACTCTCTGAAGGTGATATTCAAGGGAATGTTTACAACTGTTCGAGGAAGAAACAAGAGACAAGACAAGGAATCGCTCTCAATGGATACTTGGAAGCTAAAAAAAGAGAAGAGGGGAGGATAGTGAAAGAGATAACTCAACGTAAAGGTGGATAACAGAAGAAAAAGCTGAGTTTAATGTGCACTGCACTGAAGAAAGAAATGAAGAAGAACGCTAGGAAAGACAAAAGACAACTCTACAACATACGGGCAGCGGAAGCAGAACAGGTCACAGGTAAAAGAGACCTAAGGACAATATAAAAAATAACCATGTCTCTATCCGGAAAAAAATCAACCCAGATGATGAAAATAATGAAAGATACTCAAGGAAACCTGATTACTAAGGAGGAGAAACAAATTAAACAATAGGCTGATCACTTTAAATGACTCTTGAATTGACCATCACCTGCAACTCGTCCAGAAATACACCACCACTAATAGCACGCACGGAACTGCCCCCTGATGGACACCAATCCTCCATTGGAAGAGGGAATGTTGAGGGAGATCAAGCTAATGAAAGCCAACCGGGATGACTGCAGGACCAGACGGAATACTCTCACCCCGAAGCAATAAAAACGGACCTAGATACTGCGGCAGATGTGCTCACGCCATTATTGCAAAAGGTTTGGAAGGAAGGAAAGGTACTTACCGATTGGAAGAAAGGTTAACTCGTCAAGCTGCCAAAGAACGGCGACCTATGGCTGTGAAAGAACTGGCATAGAATAATGCTCTTGTCCACGCCAAGTAAAATACTAAGTCGCATCATCCTGGAGAGAATAAAAGATGCAGTGGACAAGCTGGATTCAGGAAAGACAAATCATGCGCTAACCAAATTGCAATTCTACGCATCAACATCACAGAACAAAGCATAGAATGGCAGTCAAACCTCTATCTCAATTTCATCAACTTTGAGAAGGCTTTCGACAGACAGTATTGACCGAGAAGTAATTTAGAAACTACTTCAACACTACGGCGTACCTCACGTCTTTATCAACCTCATTCAACAGCTGGCTTTATAATTATGTCACGTGTCAGGTGATCCACAACGGAAAACTCGGCGAGGCGTTCGAAGTGGAAACAGGAATAAGACAAGGCTACCTACCTATTATCCCTGATGAGATGAAACTAAGTGATGGATAAGCCAAAATCTGTTTGAAAATGTCTAATACCCTGAAGGGGGTTAACCAACAACGATTATACAAAGAAGTTGCAGTTTGTCTATTAAATTTATGCTGAAGGGAATATTAAAGAAATTTAGGCTACTTGTGATGATATATGCTTACAACTATCAAGTATTTTGAAGTTGTACGGAAAATGTACAGTGATGAATTTCTCTTTTAAATATTGTCATCATCAACAACAAAAATGTATGAGCACAAAAACTGGAAATGCATCATTAAATAAACAATAACAAGAAGCCCACTAATTCTGAAAATTACAGGTACAATGAAACAGTATAATTCTAGGATTCAACTACGAATAAGAAGCATTTTAGAATTATTTCGTTTAAAAATAATCTCAACTACGGAAAATGTAATCTCAGCTAAGTCACAACAAATTCATCAGTCTGAAAATCTTGCTTTGCATATGTTTGGTCTGTCTGTTTTCGACATAGAACTTTGCACAAATGTGCGGAAGTTCAAGTCGCCACATTCCGTGTAGCACGCGAAGCAAGAGAAGAAAGTACAAGAAAAGCATAATAGAAACAGTGAGCAGAGGTGTGAGGCAAAGGAGTAATAAAGAAATGTCTGTCTGGATTCAACATAGAACTTGGCACCGAAGTGCAGCAGTTCGAGTTGCCACGTTCCAAATAGCACACAGAGGTAGACAAGAAGATGAGTGAAGAGAATTAATAGAGTTTGACAAATATAAGAGTGAAACAGAATGGGTAATGGTAGAAAGGAATATGAAAGATTACAGAGATGGAATACATCTGCGCCATTGACAACGATTTTGAGCCATGTCACCTATTGTCTCCAGCCATTGATTCCTAGAGTCCCGAGGGCCCCAACCCGGGAGTCTGCATCTCCCTACCTGACTCAGTTTAACTGTCAAGGATTTCATGGATTGATGCCATGTTTTTGTTTGGCCACCACTGGCTCTTTTCCAACCTGAACCTATATCAGCTAACAATGCCCGTCGGGGGAGGCGGTGGTTAGGCATGCGCACCACGTGACCTAGCCATCTTAGTCTATGTAACTTTATAACCTCGTCGATTGATTTTCCCTCTTTGCCCAACACTCTACGCCTAACGTCAACATTACTTATCTTGTGAAACCACCTAACGTGAGACAGAGATCGCAGACATCTATGATCGAAAGCAGTCAACCTTTTCATGTCTTCAACGCGTATTGGCCATGTTTCAGAGCCATAGAGAAGGACGGAGCGAACTGATGAGCAGTACACACGTCCCTTGGTTGATAACCGGATGTCACGCCTACGCCAGAGATGGTGTAAGTCAGCGAAAGCAGCTCGAGCTTTTCGGATCCGTGCTGAGATTTCATCGCCAATCAGTCCGTTGGTGCTAATACAACTTCCCAAGTAGGTGAAGTGGTCAACATGTTCTATCACTTCACTCCCTATCACTAAGTTAGGGGTTGACGTCGTCCAGTCCTGTAGCAGCATCTTACATTTTGCAGGGGCGAATCGCATGCCAAACATACGAAGATTGCTGCTCAAGGTGTTCAGAAGACTCTGCATTTTGTCAGCATCCTCCCCTAACAGGACTATGTCATCTGCATATTCTAAGTCCATTAGATTATTCCCTGGTAACAAGTCGATTCCTAAGTCACTACGTTCAGTTAAGGATACTTCCATTAGCATATCTATGATGAAGTTAAACAGAAATGGGGAAAGTGGACATCCCTGTCGGACACCACTGGTTGTTACTAATTCAGATGACAATTCCCCATAAGCCCTTACACGACTACGTGAGTTTGAATAGAGTGCCTTGATTAGTGCAATGTACTTTCTTGGCACTCCCTTCACAGTCAGACATTGCCATAGTACTTTTCGGTCCACGGAGTCGAAGGCCGCCTTCAAGTCAAGAAATATGACAATTGTTGGACGCCGAAAAGTGTGTCTATGTTCTAGAATCTGTCGAAGAGTGAAGATATGATCTATGCACCCTCTACCTGGTCTAAAGCCTGCTTGATTTTCCCTTGTCTGTTCCTCCCGAGTTCTGCTTAGTCTATGCATGATTACTGAGCCTAGGATTTTAGAGACTATGTTCGTTAGGCTGATCCCCCTATGATTATCACACGAGGACTTGTTTCCCTTCTTGAATATCGGTATAATGAGTGACTTACCCCAGTCTGATGGTACTGTCTCTGATTCCCAGACTTTGCCTAGTACCTCAGTTAATCTACAAACTAGTATGTCACCCCCATATTTAAACACCTCCGGAATAATTCCGTCGGGTCCTGCCGCTTTGCCTCGTTTCAAATTACTGATAGCTTTTGTAACCTCACCTACAGACGGCGGACCAGTGTCTATATCCCATTCGGGTACGTGGTGGATGGCGGGGAGGTTCAGTGTGGCTGTAGGCAAGTTAAATTGTTCCTCAAAGTGTTCTTTCCAGCGTTCAAGGCGTCTATCCTGAGAGCTAATTAAGGAGCCATTTTTCTCAGAAATAGTCTCACTTATGAATTGCCTTTTCCCGCCCGATTCTGTGATGAGTCTAAAGAGTTGCCTAGTGTTGCCTATCGCCAATGCTTTTTCCATCTCTTTCGCCTTTGTCACCCACCACTGTTCACGGTCCTTGCGGAGACTTTTAGTAAGTTTCCTTTTGTGCAGCTTTCGCTCCTCATTGAATTCGGAGCTCGCCGGAATAAGTCTTCTAGCATCTATCAGTTCGGATGAGGCAGTCGAAATCCAGTGGTTTTTACTCACCTTTGGATTTGTCTTATTCACAGCTTTTACAGCTGTATCTATAGCTGACTGAATATTCTTCCAGGCTTCTCCAGGGTGAGCACAGCTGTCGGATTCAGATATGCGTTTAGCTAGTTCTTCCTCAAATAGGGATTTAGTTTCCTGATCGAGCTGGGGGCGTAATGGTTTTACCGCCAGCTGTTTCCTACGTCCGTTCAGTCGTAAGCACACACGAGCCCGGACCAGTGCGTGATCGGTATCTACACACGTGTTCCAGAAGGAGCGACAATCTCCTACCGACCCACGCCAACGATAGCTTATTGCTATGTGGTCTATTTGTGTCCAGCGTTGGTTTGATGATGGGGGTCGCCAGGTTAAACAGTGTCTCTCCTTGTGTTTAAAGTTAGTGCTTACAAGAAACAAATGATTATCTGAACAGAACTGTAGGAGACGGTCACCGTTGTCGGTTCGCTGGCACGGAACTCCATAGGTGCCACCGACATCCTTCTCAGATTGACACAATTTCCCTACTTGAGCGTTGAAGTCACCAGCTAGAACGACTATATCTGAGCGTTTAGCCTTTCTCACCAAACTAGACAGCTTTTGGTAGAACTCATCCTTCGTTTCATCCGAACTGCAGTCAGTGGGGGCGTAGGCGGAGATTACGAAAAGGCATCGGCGAGTAGTGCAGTCCTTTCTCCTTCTTACTGATCCGTTCAGACGGACAGCACACATTCGGCTATCTACTGGGATCCAGTCAAGCAATGTCTTTTCTGCCCTAGTACTCAGAGCTATCCCTACGCCAGCTAATCCTCGTGAACTAGCTGTGGCATCTCCTGACACCCTCAAGGTGAATTTTGAAGATTCATCCTGTTGGCCAGGTGGGGTTAGGTGAATAACCACACTTGGGTCTTGTATGCGTGTTTCTGAAACACAACATACATCAATGGCTCGAGATGCCAGGGTCTTAGCTAGTGATGCTTGTTGTCCTATTTGGCAAAGTGTCCTAACATTAAATGCTCCTATATGAAATTGGTGGCGTGGCTTTAGGAGACTATCCGTGGTGGTTTTTTGGCTTTCGTCGTTTTTAGTGGACACAGAGTGAAGAGGGAGTGAGGAGCCATCAAGTAGAGGAGTTGCATCACTGGGGGGAAGGTAAGGTAATAGAGATGAAGATGAAGACAAAGATAAGTGAGGATTAGAGAGGTTTTGTGTGCGTTTTGGATTGTGAGGGCGATTGTTACTTCCCGGCTGCCCACACCGTGGAAGTTGGTTGCGTGACCGCAGAGCCCAGGGGACAACTGCTTGTGGCCGGTCACACGCGGCCTGTTTTTGTTCGTTCTTCGTTGTTTTGTGTGCCTCAGTAGCATACTTATCACTCCCGCCCTGTGACACGGCAGCAGGAAGCGCGGTCGTTGTTAATCCGGGCCACGGCCGATCCGGCATGAAATTTTGTGAATTTGTTTGGATCATGGTATTGGATGAGGTAGCTGCTTTTTGTTTAACCGCTATCCAAACAACCTGCCTGGCATGGTAGAACCTCAAGAGACATAAGTCTCAGCCAGTATAGCTTGATTAGGTCATTGCGGTGTTCAAGCCCGACCACCACGTCAAGGTAGCAGCTTTCGGTCGGGTACCTACAGGTGTCGATGGTTCAATCAAGCGCGTGACTCAAGCTCGATTTCCGACCGATGCACTCACTCACAAGCCTAGCGCCAAACTTCCCAGCCGTTAATAAGCCCGGTGAAGACGAAAGGTTGGGTGTGAGTGAGACTGGTGACCCAACCAAGAAAAAACAATACCACCCCTGCTGCTACTAAAACTTCAAAACTGGTGACCCTATGTCCCACCTGCTAAAACTAGGCATTTTATAAGTCATTTATGGAGCACAAACTTCTACTTTGTCTACTAAACAACAATTATGTTGATGAACAGATAGTTCCATTCTTATTCACGATAGCTGGACAGCTGCCGATAATCCAAATAAAATAAAGACGTAGTCGGTGGCTAGATGTAGAGTAGTTCAGTTATCATAGCACCTGGCCAAAATCCGATGACTGAATCACGCCGGGATCAAGGCTTTCCTTTCAACTTCTATCATCACTTGATAACAACTATTTCATATAATCTGGTCAACAATGACCTAATCTATTATATCAATAGGTACTATTTAATCATTGAGTCTGACAACCACTTTATGGACTAGTATTCTGTTTCAAGCCTAATCTGTCACCTATGTAAACAAATGCCTTACTCTTATTTCCAAAATAACTTATATTCTGATGATTATAACGGAAGGGAAATCAATTTGATAACTAGGTTGAACCAGTTAATACCCAAGGAAGTGACGATTCAATGCACAAAGATTTCGTTGCCAGCTGGAACTGCATCAATCTATTCAACCTCTTACAATCAAATTTTGAGAAGCCTAATAATAATAGTTTAAACGGAAATGTGATTTCATCACCGAGTACTATTGATTTCTTAGTGGAATTCTAAATCTATCCCACCAGAGGTAAAACTTTATCCCTAATTTAATTAACCCAACACGGGTTTTCAACTGCACAGTTTTAGGGCTTTTTTGATTGTAGAACCATATCACCTGATAAGAAATATTCATTTCAGCAACTAACTCCTGACAACATAAAGGTAGTAACGCGTGCATAAGCACAAACTAGACTCCTTAGTTGGTTCCTTTAGAAATATGAAATCAGTAGGTTACTGACTGCACTAAAAAATAATGCTAACAAGATGTCTTACATTGGGAAATGATGTGGAATAATGTCTGTATCGTCAGTCGGTGGCGCAGCTGTAGAATGCTTACCAACTACGTCTCACATGTGGTTCGAGGTTTGATCCTCGGTCAAAGACGCACTCCTTTACCTCGCTATGTCGATAATAAGACTGACAAAGAGGGAAGGCTTGGCATGAGGCTAGCAACTCCATCCCGTAAAAATAATAAACACCACTGCTACTGAAACTCGAAGCCTCTAGCTTGAAGCCCTATGTTCCACTGGCAACGTACAGGAATAAAGGGAACCAACACTTGAGTATCAATGAGATGTTCACTAGCGACTTGCCCTATTCAGTTACCTGGGGATCTATTTTTTCATTCTTTTTATTATAGCTTTATTACACACCGTATTTTTGATACAAGTATGAAATTTTCAGCATGTGATACCGGTAGCCCAAATTTTGCAGGCTGACCACAGATATCAGGTGTGCATCGGCAGGGGTCGAACCTCGGACCATGTGCATGGTCGGCGAGAGTCCTAACCGCTGTGCTGAGAAGTTGTGACCAGAAGGGTACAGCAGGTCGGGTGTGAGGACAAATACTCGTCGAAGACATTGGCTAGGGTCGCGCTATGTCGTGAATTGACAGAAGTTAAAATTCATGGGCGATTGGATCGGGCCCCAGTGGCTTAGTGGCATAAGAGCTCCCCTTGTAACCAAAAGGTCCTGGGTTCGAACCCCGGTGGGTGCGTACTGATGAGGAGTTCCAGACTACGGCGAAACAGTTGTCGAGTACTCCTAGGTTTTTCAATGGTTCTCTAACCAATGTTAGCTCGTGATGGAATCCTGTAACCAGCCAAATCCCCATAAACCAACACTTGAAAAGTAAAATAAATAATATATATATATATATAGTTATCATCAGTTACAAATATAAATGCTAACATCCCTATTGTTTAATATAATAGTTATCTATCTAAAATAAAACCATATTATCACTGGATTCAACTACCTGGAGTTTCTTATTTGTTTTATAAGCTTCATACTGTGATGAAACAGCTGATTCCAAATAGGGTGTTAAACTAACATTAATTGTGATAGTAAAATTCTATAACCACCCGAATAATTAAAAAAATGTAATATCAAACGTGAACAGTCCTGCATAAGGATAATTTAGGAAAATTGCATATTTTAAACAAGGGATATACTAAATTTATTATTACAAAAAGATTACCTCGCTTGCAAACTTTGGATCATTGGCATTCACACCGCCTAGGCAAATCATTAAATCTCTGTCTGTTTTAAATGGGTGCTGATCATAAGATCCTTTCCAAGACCAATAATAATCTGGACATGACTCTACACAGACCTGAATAAATGGAGGAAGGAAAAAAGTGTGAAGTGCTTGACTGGGTGGAATACTAATGGTAAGGGAAAAAAATGCCGAAACAAAACAAAGAAAACAGCTAAAGCTTATACTCATAATAAAATGCAAATTATCCTCTATCTCACTCTCTTCAACTACTTTTTCATGATTTATATCAGGAAAAACATTCCCAATTTACATCGGAGACTGATCGATACTAGTCGGCTGGAAAAAACATCACAACAAACAAAAAGCTGTTTATGGCAGCGAAGGAGGGGAGGAGGGCGCGCGGGAGGGCAAAGATAAATATGCTACACACTTGATGATAGCCAACATACATACATATACTTACTTTACTTTACTTCGGCTATCTCCTACGGGAGGATGAGCCGGTTTCATGAACCATGAAGTTTCATGGGAATTGGGTACGAGTGATGTCCCCAGCATCGCTCGGCCTTTTGTTTGAGAGTGCAGCTCTAGCCTTTACACAACCAAGTGTGACCTAAAAGGTAGTAGGAGTGGAGTAGGGAGTCCACTATCCATTGGAAGCCGGTGACCGGAGTCCGGTTCATACGCCTTTTTGAACGGGGCCAGACATCCAGGGCATCCAATAAGCCCTTTGTCCATACGTCTGCCGGTGAGCTTCATACGCCAGTCGTTGGAGGTTTGGAATCAGGGTTTAGCCGTCTCCCCTAGACTGTCATCCAATGGACAGTCAACCCGGTGAAGAGCGCCGGGCATCAGCTTTTGCCCTCTCACTTCTGTGAAAAACACCTCCGCCACGTGAAGGCAGTGAGTAGGACTTCCTCAGGAGAGGCTATGTAAGACGCCCGGTCATATGGGAGCATTTCAAGAGGTGTATGGAGGGGTGGCCAACCCGCAGCGCAAGAACCCACCCCCGACCATCCTGTAATATCCATGTAATAGGAAAAAATAAGTAAATTGTAACTAGTTGCTTGAAAAAAAACAGCTAAATGTTACAGAGATTTTAGATGATTAGCATCATTTAACTATCGGGATAGCGTCGTCTGCTTACAACTGTTTTAAAGCTTTAAGTTGGCCGCCTAGTAGCATTTTTAAAAGTCCTCCCTTAGGTTGTAAAATATCTCGAAGATAACACTGCCACAAATATGATAGTACTGTTTATCAAAACAAATGCGGCAACCTGACCACTTACACTCTACTACTACTACTCATTTTTATGCAATTCCCTTGCGTTCCACGTGGAACATAATGCTTTCAGCTTGAGTCTTAGGAGTTTCAGTAGCGACGGTGTTTTTTCTAGGGGGGGGAGGTTGCTAGACTTACTGCCAGCCAACCTACCCTCCTTACCAGGCTTACTACTGGTTAAGAGAGTTTAACGAGTGTAGCCGCCTGGAATCGAACCGCGGACAGCGTGCGCAGTTTGCTGGCATCCTGCCACTGAACCACTGATACACTAGAGGATATAAAATAAATTTGTAGAAGAAATTTAATTGGTGTATGGTGACTAGCAGTGGAATCTAGAATGCGCATTTCGTCCTATTTGGGACTCGTCAGCCGGATGTATCTGCATTTCTCAGTGAGACCGAACACTTCGGTCCATACAATCCACGGGAAAATCTCAAATTCAATTAAGTTGTAGAAGGAATATTGACCAAGGTCACTACTAACTGTTAAGTTCAAGTTTTTGTTCCCAAGTAGAATGAGGATAGACACAGTGTTTCTGTGAATATATGAGACTAGGATGCGTTTCATGCAAGTCCGAACAAATTCTAAAGAGAAGAAGCACCACAGTGAGCGGTAAACCCTAAAAACACGAACTATTAAGACTACAGGAAGCAAAGTTTCTACTGTAAGGAAGTTCATGATATACAAATTGACTGTAGAGAAGATTCACAAGGCTTAGTACCCAAACTCATGCAGCCAGGTGACAAGTTTCAGAGATTTGACATGTAAAAGTGAACACAACTAGAAGTATTCGCTATAGACGCTTACTGTCAGTTCTTATTTTATTTTATTATAAACGCACTGAATAGAGGTGATTTTTGACTTTACTGTTCTTCAAATTGACTTCCTACTGGGGAAGTAAACTCGTTAAGTTACAATACATATATGATATACTTCCTAGGACTGAATACTGAACAAATACCTCGCTTTCTTTGTCACAAGTCGCTACATATATGCTCTGCAGAAACATCTACTTTAAAGATAACGAGTAAAATGTTTAAATGAAAAAATAAGCGTAACTTAACAACTATTTATAAGCATTATATAAATATATATGCACTTTGCAATGAACCATACCTATCATATGAGGGATGAAGCCCACTGTTCAAGCCCCCAATGAAGTAATTCCCGACGAAACTTCAACAAGCATACGAAAGACTCATTTAGTGTTGTTTACCGACTTAATTATAACGGCAAAAGACAAAAGACTTGGCAAAGGAGTGTTTATGTACACCTTATCTTCAACGCACCTACTGCACAGATCTTCCGTTTTGTGTTACTTCTGCCTTTCGTATTGTGTTTCATTGTGTTCTTTTTCCCATGTATCTGCGCAACGCTGAGTCATTTGATTTCTGTGACATCATTTGATGTTTTTATGCCGGTGAACATCTCTTTATATACTACTGATAAATCTTATCAGTAGAACACGCCACAATATCACCTCTGATAACTGTGAGACTTACAGGTTCCAAAACAAAGGTCACATATAATGCATATGGACTTCAGAAATGAGTGACGCAGTTATGAATAACAAAATATGACTTTACCCTAAGCTAAAAAATACCCACCTTGATGGAGAGTAACAACAAGCACTAAATCCATACACTCAAAACATCTTTTCGATTGACTCCTCGTAAAGTCTGATAAGAAGGTATTTTTGGTATTAACAAGGCAGATAATGCAGATAAGCCACATGTTCTACTGTTGTATTGTATAACACGACAGTTCTAAGTTAGCACTAACTAACTGGACATCGTTACTCAAGGCATTTAAATAAATTCTTCGTATGTGTCTTCACTTAACTAGGTTTTTGTCTTAAAGCTACTCGTCTAAATGAATTCAAAATGATACGAAGAAATGATATTGATTAGGATATACAGAGAAGCACAGTCGTCCAAGAAACTCTACAAAGCATATGACCTTTTAGTGAATATGACCAATCACCTTAAACTATATTTTCACAGGAAACGCATTCAATTACAAAAGCTGATTGAAACCAACAAATTCTACTGATATAAGTATAAAACTTGGGCACTGTGGTGGTAGAGTATAACTACTCCATTATGGATAAGATTTCATTTTGATAAGTCACACAGTATTATACAGTAATATTAACTGATGACCACGTTTCGAGCACAAATTATTGTTCATAATCATATCAAGCTATTCACACAACTTTTTTCCTTCATTTGTATACATGTGTGGAATTGACTAGATATTTAAATAAAAATCAGTGTAGGATAATGTGCATTCAGAAATAATAATATGAGTGTTATTGATGAATTACAATCAGATGGGAAATAAGATGAGTGTTTTTATAGTCATGATAAGTTACTTGTTAGAATGTTGTGATGTGATTGAATTGAAATAGAATTTTGAGATTATTTATTATCCTCCTCTGATTTGACTGGTTGGTGGTAATAATATCTTCCATATTTCTGGTATTTGCATTGAGTCATTTCTGTTGCATGTATTGTGTTGGGTGTAGAGTCAATGAACCAGGATTCGATAATCAATCTCTCTCTCCACCTACATAGATTACTTCTTAGAATTTTAACCCTCTCCCACTCTATTGTGAGGTTGTGTGTTGACGCATGCAGTGCGATTGCTGAGCTTTTTTATGAATTACTTATCTTCTCTGGGTCAACCATTCTAACCTTAGTTAAATTCTTATGTTCTGACAATCTGATTGCCCCCGATCTATTAGTTTGACCTATATGGTTGACCTCACTCACAGGCATTGCAGGGTATTTTGTAAATTATATTATTTTGTTTAATTGGGTTCAGAGCTTGTCTCTGAGTGAGTTTGTAGGTTTGAATGCCAGCCTAATTCCTGCTTTATTAAGAATCCTCCAAACTAGTCGAATATTCATAATCCTCTCACTCAGTGAAAATAATGAAAAGTCAATCTGATAATAGTGATAATAATAATAATTAAGTTCAGAAATAAGTTAAAAAAATGGAAAGAATTTTTTCAAAAATGTATGAGATAATCAAATAAATACCTGAGGTGTTGGACATCCAGTAACAACTAAAGCTGGACCCAATTTGAGACAACTTTGCAAATCGAAGAAGAACAGATACGGTTTACCACTAAAATGGAGAGAAATAGTTTTTTTCAAAATAAAAGATATTTTAATTTAGTAAATAAACAAGTTATTATTAAATAAGTTAATAAGCGTTAATCGAATTCTAGTGATAGTAAAAAAAATGAAAATAAGTGAAATAACTGAATAAAACACGTTAGTTATGACACCTATATCCACATTCTCGGCTACTTGTAAATGCTATTTGTTATTGTATGTATCTAATGGTCTCTGTTCTATTGGGATAACTATGAACAGGAATATAAAATTGATATGTATCCATTTATATATTTATGTGCGCGTGTGTATGTTGGTCTCTCTTTCTATTTGCTCGCTTAGTCTGTGACCATTTCATTTGTATGAACTTGTCTCCTTTAACAATGTATATTCCCCTTATATTATATATAATATGAGTGTTTGTTGACAATCCGTTGCTTGGTGACATATATCCATATATGGTGGTTGTTGACATGTCTGCTATATTTCGCTATGTATATATGGATCGATACTTCATTATAATTAGCTATTCATATTAAGACTGTCTAGTGATTTGTTCACACCCTTTGTCTGGACATTCATATATATCTCGCTCTCACAATTTGTGTGACTTACTTACTCACCACTTTGGTGTGATACCACTTTTGCATTCTCCTTGTGTTTGGAAATAGAAGTATCATCGCAAACCTAGTGGTCTTCTGATTTCCGCCTTCTTGCGTCAGGACCATTAGTTTCTCGACCAGTCCATAACAATAATTTGTCGACGAGTACATAACAAAAATGACCAACTACTACACCATTGGGATACATACATTCATACATACACTCAACCACTGTGGCCAACCACAAAAAGCGTCAGTATGGAGATGATCATCTCTTCCTCCAAGTTCTTTTATGTCCTTCGGTGGATGGTGACTGGAAGTGCAATCCATAATGTACATTACCTTCTATCTGGGACCAGTGATAGAGCTTCAGGGTTGAGAATAATAGGTGTTGGGGGATCCTAGTCTCCGTGGGAAAATTATCACAGATGACGAGTCGCTTACAGGACAAAACACGCATCTTGAACTCCACTGCTAGTAGTTACCAAATAACATCATGTTAGATTTCCAGATATCGTCAAAGTCTCCCCTAGAAGGAGCCGACATGTCAGCAAAGAGTGAATATTTCGGTCGAATACAATCAATTAACGGGAGAAACAAGAATAGATTTGACAAATAATTTTATCATGTCCTTCGGTACCTTACCAACCTTTTATTTGACCTTCCTACTCCTTTTCAATGTTACGATCATTTATTATTATTATTGTTGTTGCTCGTTGTTCTTTGGACTGACAGTAAGCCTACTCTGTCTATACTACTTAATATGATCAATGTGTTTACACCAGATAATTATTACTATCCTATCATTATTAATCTTTTAATTGAATTTGGGATTTTCCCGTCGATTGCTTGGACCGAAATGCTCGGTCTCAGGTTGACATGTCGGCTTCTTGTGCAGATGCTTCGACGATGTCTGGACATTGAGTTGGTATTTAATTGGTGGATGATGACTAGCAGTGGAATCCAGGATTCGCATTTCGTTCTATTTGGGATTCGTCAGCCGGATGTACCTGCGTTTCTCAGTCAGTGATGATGTTAACAAGAAGCCGACATGTCAACCTGAGACCAAGCATTTCGGTCCCATCAATCGACGGGAAAATCTCAAAGTAAATTAAATTATTATGACCCGTTGCACAAGAGGTGGCTCTGGTGGCCGCCCAAGTGGTCTAGTGGATAACGCTTTGGCGTTTGAAACTATGGGCACTGGGTTCGAGCCTCGGTGGTGGGAACATCATTACTCACTGAGAAATGCAGGTACATCCAGATGACGAGTCCCAAATAGGACGAAATGCGCATCCTGGATTCCACTGCTGGTCGCCATCCACCAGTTAGATACATTATTAATCTTATTTGTCGTCTCTGGAACTTAAATTCAGTGTATCCGATTTACTTATTTATTTATAATTTTGTAGTATTCATATTTTCTCTCATAATATTCAATATAATTCACTCTATGAAAACTATGTTTTTGTTGACCATAAATACACAAGTAGGTCACTTAAAATTGTTCATTTTGGTGTTTATCTTGTGGTTCTTATTGTCTGTACATTTTATATGCATCTGAATGATAATCAAGACCGACAGACTTTTACTTTTACCTCAGTTTATATATGTGTATATAAAGTTTATGGTATAATGTTGATTTACCTTTACTGGTTACTGTAGGCTAAAAATGATGGATTTATAACTGAAGAAGTTGTTGTTGTTGTTGTTGTAATACAATTATTCGCTCTAGTTATTATTGTACTTTTATGTTCAGCATAAACAAGTTATAAAAGAACTACTACTATTCCTGCTAAGTAGAGTACTACATTTTATGATTGATGTGTTATTCAAGTATTGATTTGTAGGTATTTCATTGATTGGTTAGAGGATTTCAATCATGAGCTGATATAGGTTAGAGAACCATTGGAAAACCTGCAGAAAGTACTGGACAGCTGTTTCGTCCTAGTGACCAGTAGGGTAAAGCAGGTCGGGTGTGAGGGTGAATACTCGCCACCGATGACATTCGCTAGTCGTCGCGCCATATCGTGAATTGGAAGAATTTGAAATAGATGTACTGGCCAATGGATCGGATCTCAGTGGCTTAATGGTCTACGAGCTCGCTTGCCTTGTAACCAGAAGGTCCTGGTTTCGAACCCCGGTGGGTGTGTACTGATGAAGAGTCCCAAACCAGGACGAAACAGCTGTCCAGTACTCCCTGCAGGTATTCCAGTAGCTCTCTAACCAATTTAAGCTCATCAGTGTGTCAATTTGAATGATTTATAAGGTGGTGAAATCTGAACACAACAATTCAGTGTGAACTTAAGAAGTGACCATGTCATAAAAATAACTCTGTACAATCACAGAACAGCTTAAAAAAATATTCTTTTTACGACTCCATGTAAGTGTAGAATTTGAGCGCTGTATTATTATTATTATAGGTTTAGAGTGGAAAATAGGGCTACACAACACCACGTTTTCATTTCGTCCTGTTCTCGGTAGCCTTTCTTAGCTGGCTTCAACATTCCCTATAAGCTACACCATCTCCTACTCACGTGATCTCCTCTATGTCACCCTCGGAAATCCAACTCTTCGTTTCCAATCAAGAGCGTGTACCTAGCGCGTGATTTTACTCAACGGTCTGGTTAGCACGTGTCTGACCTATCTCTATTCCATTCTGCATACTTATTGGGCAATAGGTTCTGGGTTGATTCGTTCCCAGAGTTCCTCGCTGCTTATGCTTTCTGGTCGACCATTTGATATTCAGTATGGAATGAAGGCAGGTGTTGATAAAAGTCTGAAGCCTGTTCGAAATGCTTTAGGCACTTTGTGAACCAAGTCCTAGAACCATATGGAATCACTTATTTGACATTAGTGTTGAAAATCCTAATTCCGTTCTTTATGCTTACTGGTTTAGATTCCCAGACTAATTTCAGAGTAATGAATGCCTGTCGTGACTTCCCAATTGCGGTTTTGACATCATCTGTACCGCCTGGAGTTGAAACGATACCTTGATTAGTGAAAGTGGTGACCTCCCTCAAATTCCTCCCCTTTATGGTGATTGGTGCTTGTTGTTAATTACGTGTCTACATCACCTTTGTCTTCTCTGTGTATTCACCTGTCTTCGCTGCTTCTTCTGTCAACCTCATGGTTTTGTCCTGTAGATCTTCAACCCAATCCCTACAGTAATTTGGGCACTGTGACAGAATATAACTACATACTAGATAAGTTAAGTTGATATAACACCTTGATACAGTAATAAGAATTAGATGATGTTTCGAGCACAAACTACACGAATTGCTAACTTGCTTTCTATAGGCTTATATCCCGGGGTATGTGTCGCATCATATCCATTGCATGCGTCTGGTGTTGATTGTCATATATGGAACTTTTACGATTTCATCAAATGTCACAAAGTTATGCTTCTACTTCACTGAGTATATAAAAATTATCTTTAAAGTAAACGCTAAAAACTAGTTAGCTGTTATAACAGAAGATGGAAAAACCAACAGAAAAGTTTGAAGTAGCCACGAATTCTACTGTCCTCTAATTTTATTGCAAGTGATGCTTTTGATGAAAAAAAAATCAGCGTCACCCAGTGCTGCAGTCAGAGACGTTACCACTGAGGTATTCGGGCTTGCAATAGACCACCTACAGGACTGTATTGGATACTTTTCATCGGACGCTACTTACATTACACACTGAAGTAGTCCAAGGCTTCCTGGCGATTGCTTCCAACAATTCAAAGTGCACCGTGATGGCGAGCCACCAAGCATAGTGGCCACATTGCAAACCTGACCGACAGAATTCAGTTTGCACCAAGACAGGACTAGACACATTATACTCGCTACTGACTAGTGTCCAATCAAAAGGAAACGCCTTTTCATACTAAATGGTGTAAGGAAAATTCTGTGGAACCGGAGTTGCATGAGACAAATGACTTCGTACCTCCAACATGTGGCATTCTGGTAAACAAATATACTGCTGTGGTAATCTGTGTTCATAGCATCCCTACCTTTGAGACAGAGTAGTGTAATTACAGATTGCCGTGATTTAATATGTAGAATTGCGGTATGACTAGTAGTCAGTAGAGGTGAAACATTAAGCACTCATTTATTCGAAACCCTGACATGCAAAATGTACAGCGGACAATACTAAATATGACCACATATCAAAAAGTAACACTCCAGTAATTTAGATTACTCACTCTCACACACATAGGAGTGCATAAGCACAAATGAACTTGCACTCATGCAGGCATTATTTTCCAAATATGCACATTGGCCCCTTTGTAAAAAAAAATACGTACTTTACACTTAAGCATAATGAGATGGTAATTTTTTTTTAAATTTCTCCTTACACAATCAAATAGGATGAGGATTCATGTTAAGAACGCATTAATTCAGTTATTCGGCCTGCTAATCAG